AGTTTGTCAGATATATGTTGTAATGTCAAGCTAAGTCTTCTTAATGCTCTTATTCCAATACATTGATTGCGAGTTCTATGCCTGCAAACTTTAGTTTCTGAAGAAGACTTTTCGAGAGACTTTGTTTGCTAGAAAAGAGGATGAATTGATAGTGATGTTAAGAGTTAGAAGTTATGTTGGTTGGGCAGTCAAGAGTGTTGTTGTAAATGTGTTTCTCTAAGCAATTGTTAGAAGAACATGATTGGACCATACTTCATGGCAAGCGGGGTAAGGAGGAGTGACAGTCTAACCTATTGCGAGTTAGCCGAACTGCACCTACGGGGCTAATCCCTTAAACAACCTAGTATCAAGTCTAACATTTTGTAACTGAGAGGTAATTTATTTATTTATTTTAGTTTTAAGTCCTAGGCTGTAACCTTCAATCTATTTCAATGTAGGACCGGTGGAGCCGGCCGAGATTTAACCTTTAGGCTTGCCCTACTTGTTCACACCCATTTCAGAGCTAATAAATTATGTGCTTGTTAAATAAATAATGTAGTGAAGAAAAGAAAAGAAATAATCAATGGTTTTGAGTCAGCAATCCTCATCCTGAGCTCTCCTCCGCCAACGTATTTGCCCTGGCATTCATCTTAAAACTCGTCCTTGCATTCAGCCCAGAACTAGGATGTGTCCAGCCTACCAAAGCAGCCTGTAACACATGCAAAATTTTTAAACTTCTCTAACCCTTTATGTCCGAGGAGTTGCTTGGTAAAAGCATCTAAGCTCAGGTCTTTTCTAAGTTTACGCGTCAGAATATTGTATCTCCAACAGCGTGTGAAGTGGGTGGGCGTCTTTTCTGGCCCACAGCTACAAACTAGATTTGCGTCTTCGTGCTTGAAGCAACGGTGATACGCCGAAAAATCTCCATGCCCTGTTCTTGCAGCAATGAGTTTGTGTAGTAATCTCCGTGGCAACGAAAGTTCTTGGGGTTTACGTCGTCGCATTTGCAGGTCTAAGTCTTGGTATTGAGCTGGACAAGCAGATGACTACCATTTTTCTATCAATTCTTGTTGTTGCTTTTGCATAAGACGTTTGAAGTAAGCAAGACTGATATAGCTGGGTTGTTTCTGGTTGTCCGGAAGTAAATTTAGTGCGGCCCGAGCTTCTTTGTCAGCCTCCACATTCCCCTCTATGTTTGAGTGTCCAGGGACACATCTGATTTCTGCGATGGATCTTTGCACAGCATCATGAAAGATGCAAATTAAGCGGCAGGTAGAGGACAAATTCCCAGTCTGCAATGCTCTAACAGCTGCTTGGTTGTCAAGTAGCACGGTTATCTTTTCCTCCCCTTGTCTTGCAATGATAGCGGCTTGCAGCGCGCCTATTGCCCCAACAATCTCGGTGTCGAAAGTTTTGCATCTATGCAGCGACCCCCGTTCCTTCTTGAAGGTAATTCCTCCTCTTTGAAGCACATAGCCTCATGCTGATCGACCGTGACCTTCTGAGGACCCATCTGAATAAGCACAAATTTCAGATGGAGGGACCGTCCTGATCCATTTTTGATAATCTCCCACTCCTTCCAACTTTCATCCAGGATTTCTCCAATATGCTGGCCCAAGAAGTGGTTCAGCATCCTCCACTTGAGGTAGTTGGCAGTAAGCCATTTGGACGCGGGACATCTGGGTATCGGGTCGCAAAGATAGCTTTTTCCGCCTTTTGTATTTAATTGTTCCCTTATTTGGGCACATCCTTGCACGAATAGGTAGGGGATGACAATCATCGAGGGATTGCAACCTTGCAGGAAGTCATAGGCGGTTGCATTCTAAGAGGATCCGGTCTGTTGGAATGCCTCCTTCCCTGTGAAGCGCAGCAATGTGTATAGTCTTCCACACCAGAAGTGCTGCTCTTAAGGCTAGAATTAAGGCCCTGTCAATCAGCTTGCATAGATGCGTCGTCTGGGGAGTCACGAGACCCCGTCTTTGGGGTCGTGACAAACCGGGCCACCACACATCTGCACCATATGTTGCTATTGGAATCACGCACGCTTCCACTGCAGTCATTAATAGTCCAAGAGCTGCCCCCTGATTGACTGAGTTTATTTGTTGCAGAAGTTGAGCCACCTTAAGTGCTGTCCCACTCCATATTTTCACATGATTTTTAAATGATAGTCTCTTGTCAAGATAGACTCCCAACTGTCACAGGCTCATACCTGGTTATCATTAGGCTGCTGCCTAACAAATAAGGCTTGAACTCTTCCAACCATATTAAACACCATACATGTCATGAACCCCTCCACGACTCATTAGACCCAAGTATAGGCCTTGGCCCAGTTCATGCAAATCTATTCTTAAATGATAAATTTAGATTGCAGACAGGACGACTCGAACACCAGTCGTGAGTCATCTAAGCCACATGCATCATAACTATTTTAATAACTAAAATTACTAACATTAAAATGAAGCCGAATTAAAATAGACGGAGATGCTGGTGTTTGTCGGAGGACAGGTCATGATCTATTTTGAGAATGGTATGAAATGAGGGAACGAGATCATAGTCTTGTAAATAAATAGGAGGCTTTCAGTCATGTCTCTGCTCGTTACTTTAAGATTTTCATTTGTATCTAGCTCTGAGTTCAGTTTGAATAAAACGCCACTTTAAGACCGTCACACCAACCATTGAATGTACTCAGCTGGCTCTATGAACGTGTCTGTTGGTAAAACACGAAGTAATAAAAATTGGGTGCTGTCACAAAGTCAGCTGTCTGTCACGAAGTCGGTGAATAATGTCAATTAACTGGTATCTTGATATACATAAAACGTTGTCTCTACTTTTTCCTCTCTATCTCCTCTTCCTTCCTCTACTCCAGCGCCTTGCTAATGAGCTAAACCAGACCCCTATCAGTGTCTCAACAACAATCTGAATAAAGCAACTACATAGAACAATTCATACTGCCCAAATATGATCCTTTTACCGACAGTGTTGCTTATTTGAATTCCCACTGAATTCTCAAGGCGGCTTCCCGGGAACTGAAAGACTTCCGATTTCTCAGTTTCAAAGGATATGGCATTTTCCTCCGCCCAGTCTACTAATTTGTTCACCTCGTGCTGTGCCAAAGCAGCTGATTCTGCAGCTGTTTGGCCAATTCCTAAAATTCCAATATTGTTGGCATAGCTGAAACGTGCTCTAGGGTTTCCACCATGCGTAGGCTCTGCCATACAGAGTAAGAATAGAATCGGCGAAGTTGGGGAGCCCTGTGGCACACCGCATATCAGTTTCCTAGGGCTTGTAATCCCTCCCGGGTAGCGTACTTGCACGCTTCGATTTTTGAGGAAAGATGTTGTCCATCAAAGAACTGAATCGGGCCAGCCTTGAGCTTGCATCCACCATATGAGCCGATTATGTAGGACAGCATCAAAGGCTCCCTGCACATCTAACGTGACAAAGGTTGTTGTCCAGCCCTGTGTCCGGGCCTCTTCTATATCATGCACTACACATGAGACGAGATCTGTTGCCGAACGTTTTGGTAGAGCCCCAAACTGTTGTGGGCCTAAAAAATTTGAGACCACCGCACAATGTGACATTCTCTTAGCCATGATTCTTTCCAATCCCTTTCCTAAACATGACAGGAGTGCAATAGGCCTCCAGGAGGCTGCAAGGAGTTCTGTGGAGATTCCATCAGCTCCAGGGCAAGAGCCACCTTTGCCTATTGTACAGCTTTGAACTTCAGTCTCGGATATTTCTTCCTTCCATGTGATCCGTGAATCTCCGGGCTGGTAACAAGGGGTCAGATCATCGGTGACTTGGTGCCGTGAAAGAAGGCAATTGCGCAGGATAACTGCGCGCTCAGCCTGATCAGAGATGAATCGACCTTCATGTGAAAGAGGTAGCGGATAACCAAGAGGCAATGTATATCTAACCATCTATTTAATTCTGAGTACTGTCTTTTAGAAGATACTACAAGGCTGAAAAAGTAGCCTCGCTTACTAAGATCGCACTAATATCCTCCCATGCTCCACTTACTGGAATAGTTTATTTGTTACCGCAAAGGGAGTAGCCTTTTTGATAACTTGCTCTACAATTGCTAGGCTTGCATCAATCACGTTTAGAAATCTATCTGTCTCGACAGATGAATCTGACAAAATAGTGCATTATTAATAAGTGATAAATGTATTTAACACCTCGACGTAGACCCGTGACTGTCGAACCTTTTGAGCTGGTTCGGAAGCTGTAGTGATTGAGACTAGAGGTATCTGGAAGAACAGCTTGCACAGGAGCTTTCAATTGAAGTTGTAAGAATTCACAGCAAGATTATGCGAAGGCCACGTGACTGTATAGAACTGAGCCAGATCAAGAAGGCAATTAATCATCAAAAGAACTCACTATGTTATTCTTCTATACTACTACGAGAGTCTGATTTAATACCTCTCTCTGTGATCCCTTGTCACCCCCAACTAGTGCATGAAGCTATTCTAGTACCTTCTTCAATGCCCCCCATATGCGCAATCAGTAAGTTCAATATCCCTGTTATAGATCTGCAACTTGCCTATGAACTGCACCCCCGTATAATAACCTTACGTCTGCTTACAGAAGTAAATAAAAAGATGTAATTGTCTGCCTGTCTTCTTTCATCTTTCTCTCAGCTTATATATCTATACATATCTACTACCTGACATATGGTGATAATATCTAGATATAGCTTGCTAACATCACAGGACACAATCCAAACATGTTGTAGCCAGGATGTAATCCTAAACCGACTCAATACCAGTCCACCACGTCTGTTACACAGACGCCAATTATTTTCTAGATGAAAATTGCCCAAAACGCCAAGGTTTTCCTGAGGCAATCACAAATTATATCAGATACCAGCTTGGCATGTTATTCTGACAATAATGTTACAATCATGTTAGAAGAATGGAATCTACATGAATAACAAAACATTAATTCAGGAATACGAATTTTATCAGGCTCTGCTCCCTGTCTGACAGTGACACTTGTGTTGATTAATTATTTCCTTATACTCATTGCTCACTTGGTTCTGGAATACATTCAGAATAGCTGCCGTTCATATCAGATTCCACACTCAATATAATTTTAATCACATCAAAAGACACCCTAACTCTGAATCTTAGTCTGTCTAAAAATAGATATAAATGTAAGTATGAAATGATATGAAGCTGGAAGGATACTTGCTAACCTGGTTCGCAAGATTGAACAAAGAAGTATGCATATTCGAAATGTTGGTATTCGTTGAAGGAACTTTGCTTACTTTTTAAACACAAACTGTGTTTTTTTTGAACTTCCTGTTCTATCAAACTTCCTTCAATCCGTAAACCGCCGCATATGTAGTTCTCACTGGCAAACACTGGCATCAAGTGAAACAAAAGAGACACAAATGATATGAAACCAAACTTCTTCATGTCGTAGCTACCAAGTAGGGGAATTGTTATTTATATTTCAGTAGCGTAACTTGGTGACTCAGATCTCTCAGACTAATTGTAGTTTATCTTGCTGAAGAATACAAAGCGTTGATTCTGTTCATGTAGTATTTGGGATGGGATGAACAACAGGAAAAAATACTGAATGACAATGATGGTAACGGATGATGTATATTGTATGCTATTTAAGCTATTACTCAATGCAAATATGACCCTAGAAGAAAGTGACTAGTTTCAATCACGATTAAATATTTCTGCGTACTTGGGGATAGTCTAATTTAATGTGAATACACGAAATGTTACGGCGTGCTATAGGGTAGATCGAGATAACTGTTTGCCGAGGGTATGAAAAGGTCAAGTGGTGAATACTATAGAGGTGGGAAGTCGACGAAGTACTATGGCTAGAAGGAAGCGGGTTTGCGAGAGGAATACTGTAATAATATTATAAGATTGTGAAGCTGGAGAACTACTTTGTTGTAGCTCCAGCTTCCTTAAATACAAATAACTATCTAACATAATTCAACTAAGACTGTTGTAATTTCCCATCATGACTCAAACTGTGACCTCAACCATATCAATTCCAGTTGGCGTATTATCTAGTCTCACCATATAAGTGCAAGTGTTGAGGGTGAGCCGAAAAACCTGTTCTGTGAATTTTATCCTCAGGCATTCTGCTTAGACTCTGGTTCCAGAATGTCTCGCCATGACACGAAAGGCTGAGGGATTTGTAGGAAATTAATTTAATTTCAGCTAATTTAAAAGATGGATTTTGCCGGACTGGACAAACTCTTTACCTTCCAGTGGTGCCTGTGTCATTGCCCAGTATACCCTGCATAACTAGGATAGCCAAGAAGAATTGCATCCGAATCAAAGTTGAAAGCAAACACATCCATATCCACATATGACGACTTCTTAATCATGCAGCACTCACTATTATCTTCTGAGTCCTCAACCTCTTTCTAACCACACATCAGATTGCCTCGACAACCAATAAATGCGTCACCCCAATTGCAAACAGGAGCTTGCCTCATTCATTACCGGCCATCACTCACTAAAAATTTACGACGCTACATATACCCAAAAGGAGGAAATCAAGTCGAAAAATATAAAGCCTGTGTTACGGTTTGACCGTGGTTTGGCTTAGGTGGAGAACTAAGTGGAGTTTGGGGGCGTATTAGGGAGAGTGTTACATATTATCTTGTACCAAGCGACTAAGTTTCACTTGGCCACATTACATTGTAGCTAGGAAGGAATGTGAGACGGCGAAGTAGAATTACCGAGGGAGAGAGTCAGCTAGATTGTAAAGATGACGACAGGCAGTGGCGGAGCAATATATCATTCTCACCCACAGAGTACGTACTGGATGAGCTAGAAGGAAGTACAAATAGTCATTGCCCGTAGTTGTGGTACTTCTCTCTTCATATAGTTTAATCTTTCTAAAAGTATACTACAACCAGCTTGGTTTTGTCACAGCCTGGGTCTTGGCCTATGGGGGAATGTCTGCTCTAATGGAACAAACAATTTGAGGAAGAACAGGCGCCTGAGATGTGGAGCAAGACATGGAACAAGTCTCTTGGGGGCATGCCAGGACTGATATTTTCAAGGCGTTTTTAACTCTGGGTTTTCTGTGGGTGCCAAGACCAGGATTTCGGCTAATTAGCCAGGAGGGCTTCTTTTGTCAATAAGTCAACAGCACTACACAGAGCCCTGGGTGGCACAAAATAAGTTGGGCTAAGCTACTACAGTGCCTCTAGGTTCCAAAATGTTAAGCTTGAAACTTGGGTGTTTAAGGGATTAGCACTGTAGGCGCAGTTGGGCTAGCTCGTAATAGTTTAGATGTCTCTCCTCATTACCCCGCTTGCCATGATGTGAAGTCCAAACTTCCTCTTCAAACATTTTGTTAAAGAAACACATTTTTAACGAAACTTTTGACTGCCTAACCAACACAGCTCTTGAATCATCAATAACTTGACCTGCAACAAACCACCACCGACGAAATACGTACGACATCTCGCCGGCACACAAACAAGAGTATTCGAAAAAGGCTGGGGCACCAGTGCCTCGGTCTTGAGCTCTCAATCGCGTTTTCGACCTCCACAGTTAGGGGTACGGCAGCGACGAGGCAAGGCTGGAGAGCTGGGCATTGTACAAAGTTTCTGGGATGACGAGATTGGCTAAAGGACAGAGGGATACTGTATGAAGGAACCAAAAGGTGTTGTGCTGGCTCGGTTGAGTTGTTAGGAGACAGGGGAACAGAGGATGGGCTGCTGGTTTAGGAAAGGGTGGAAAATACGGGCTGGTGCACAGACGCTGTTCATGTACTCTACAATCTCTTCACATGCCGAGTTTAGTGAATCAATCTATCCAAATAATATCATACTTCACATCATCCATTAGATGATATTATCAATTGTCGGGATGCACATCTAGCATCACCTTCATAGTGTTAAAGTTATGAGCTTGAGCGAAGATGGAGGTTGTAGCGGAATCAGTGTCGGCGGTTAGACCGATGCAGTAAGTCTTATATGAGGTTGTGAGAGGAAGATCCGAGTGGAAACAATTGTATTTAGATGTATGGCTCAGAGTAAAACTGAGATAATAAGAGTGAGATTGCGTGTTTGCATATCTTATCAACTGTGGTTTTTGACCAGTATTTATCAATCTCCATGGATTGTAAGTTATGATCCATGTAGATGTAGATCTATGTACATACACATATATGGGTCAGGAATATAAAGCTAAATACATGTGTGTCGGTAATAGATACAAGAAAACTATAACCTACATTTAAGACATTGTCATCTGCTGGAATTCTAGTTTGAAATAAATGCTAATGCGCATTAAACTTTCGGTGAATGATGTATTGATAACAGTGATATAGAATGGGGAATTTGATAGTCAAATTAGCCGGACTTACTAATAAGTTATTCTTGGCATTCCAAGATATATCATATTTCAACACATAGATCACCATTGTCAGTAAGAGTTCACATTTGATACCTACTGACACCCATTTGGCCACAGTGATACACACTCAGTGTCCATCGTGCCATCACCCAGCGTGAACGCGCCATATCTGCGACTCACCACTGCACATGAGCCTGTGTAATTCCACCAACGGACAGCAGAGACATAATTGCTATATACCTCACAGCTCATAACCACAACACCTGCGCATCTTTTAATCTTTGTATATATGCTGTAGCTGATAATTTCCCCGGATGACGCGACGAAGGGTTTACCTCTGGCGTTGGCTCTGTCAAGGGGTCCAACTTATACCCGTGACAAAGAAAAAATGGACTTATGCCACCAATTGCCAAATTGGGTCGATTATTAAGCCCAAGCTGTGCCATGGGAAGAAGTTTCATCCAGTCATCTTGGGCGTAGCACATAAAAACTCGCAAGTATTTGTAGATTTCTTGGTTTGCACGTTCACTTGCATTTGACTGGGGATGGTAAAATGTAGTAAGATGTTGCGTTATCCCTGTAAGTTGACAAAAAGTTTTCCAGAAATGACTCGTCCAGTCACTACCTCAATTGCTAGTCAGATAACGTGGAAATCAAAAGTACCGATAGTAGCGGTCTATAAAAACCTTGGCGCAATTTTCAGCAGTCATAGATGCTGTCCCAAATACAAATATATCCTTAGAAAGACAATCTGTTATCACCATGATATTAGTGCAGCCGCTGGAGCGCGGTAAATCAGTGATAAAGTCAATTGTTAACTCATTACCTATTTGTTTGGGGACAGGGAGTGACCGTAAAAACCCCGCTTTAGCTTCACGCCAAACTGTGCTTCGTCCGCAGATATCACAATTTTGTATGAACTTTCGGACAGCATCTCTGAGTTTGGACCAGAACCATCTGCGCAAAATCATGGTGACCATTGTGTCTTTTCCTGGATGACCTGCCAAGTGACTATTGTGAACTTGTTGCATTATTGCCATTCGTAATGGTTCATAATCAGGTACCCAGACTCTATTTTCACGGCCCCGGAGAACCCCATCCCCAGCTACCGTGCACTCAGCTATATTTGCCGATAACTTGAACGCCAAGTCAGGTGAGAAGCCCCGCTCACCGGTAGCTACTGCATCTCGCGCCCTTCGCCAGTCTTTATCGGCTTCGACGCCCCGCTTCCATAATAACTGCATGCTATCATCTTCAAACAACCTCGCCAAAGCAGCTGGGTCGTCGTGAACAGCCTCATCGGTGCTTTCTAATCTAATAGCCGATGGATGTGCCTGTGCTGATGGTAAAAGTTGCATTACTCGCCCTGCCGTACGCTCATCTCGAAGATTAGCTGGTTTGTCCTGTTCCTGTCTGGAAAGTGCATCAGGTCGCTCACAAGTCGAGCCAGGTTGCCACACTAGGTTGTAATTAAATCTCTGCAGTAAGTCATTATACCGAGCTTGTTGTTTGTTGAGTAGACGCTTTATGGAGAAGTAGCTGAGATTTTTGTGGTCAGTAAGTATTTCAAACGGTTTCCCAACCAATTGTAGTTCAGCTTTCCATTCTTCTAGACATGAAACAATTGATGTCATCTCCTTATCATGAATAGGTGTCAAACTTGAGGGTACCAGGGGTTGTGTTTTATGGATAACTTAGAAGTGTTAGTGATATCTGACAAGATTTGTCATAGACCAAGGTATTAATTCGGGATTCTAGCTATAACTGAGGACAAGGGACAAGAGAAACTAGGACAAAAGACAAGGTCAATGGAAGACGGAAATCAAGATGTGGCCCTCTACATCGGCTCTACCCCACCCATATATACATCATAGTAACCAGAGCAACTAAGGCTTCAAGGGGTGCGCCTGCCGCTATTCTATTACTTCATTTGTAACCCATAGCAACCATTGTAACCCAGTAAACGCTCTAAGATGAGAGAATATTCAGATGTAGTGTAGGGAAAGAATATGAGGGTGCTGCTCTATCCTCAGTTCCTGACAATAGGGTAGTTTGCCGCGGCACTGGTTAGTTGC